AATCAAATGGCCAGCACGGCACATATTGTAGGAGCCAAGAAAAGCAGCTGTTGCTGCTTTTGGCCCGATTTGCCGGCTACCGGCTGCCTGTTGCACTTGTTTTGGCCCGCTTGTTCTCGTTCTCGTTCTGCTGCTGGTTTGGAATCGGATTTTGGTTGGTTCTGGTTGGATGCGTTCCAGTGGTTTGAGCTTCGGTTTTGTTGTTATTTGAATGCAAATATTTCGTATACTCTGTTGACACATTTAGCAGAATATGCTTTATGGCAAAATATAGCGGAAACTTGACAAGAGTTTGATTTACGACGGTCAACTGTTGGTGGTAATAAAATGAAACAGCTTTTGTAAATAAGCCAATATGGCATAACCACCGACAATAGGCTCACAAAGAGATACAAGCCATGTTGTTCCGAATATTCTTCTTTTGTAAGCCAATACTAGTCTTATTCTGGCCAAGAAAGAATAACGCAATTGTGAGTTGAATGAACTGACCGCAAAACAAGCATATAATAAGCCGAAGCTGCTGCCCCTACAACAAAACAAGAACAGACTGGCCGCAAAGTTCACAGTTGGCCCAAAAACTGAGTCACCAAAAGGTGGCAAAAGCCGAGTTGAGAATCATGATTGCGACTTGATCTGCCTGGGAAAATACTGCCAGCATTTTGCACTTAATGTCATCAGTTTGCGCCTCATTGTTCCATTCATAAACTTCCGAACCATTTCATATCCAGATTGAAAAATATGTTGTACTCTAATTGATATGCAAATGGAATCAAATGAAGGGACTTGCCTGTTTTTCGATACTCCCAGTTCGGAAATAAGCCAGTTTGAAGCAACTATAAATTGGTTCAGCAACAGTCGTTATTGCTGGCCAGCCGCTTTGTTGGTTTGCATTTAATTATTATTTCTGGCTGAAGCAGAAATATGCAAACAAGATATTTGCCTCTCATTTTTTAGCTCGGCAATCTCTTTGCAAAACTTTTTAATTACATAGTTTCGACTGCGGTGGGCGCACGAGTGGGAGTGGCTGGAAATTATAGCCGCACTCTACATATTCATGTAAAAACCACAAAAGAAGCAAGGAACTGGGGAGTTTGCCCGGGGATCCCATGGTTGGCATATAAAGTTACAGAACATGCAAAAATGTGACGGTGAAATTATTTTTCCAGCACCAGTGGAATACAAATTTTCAGCTAAATTAAAACAATGCGGAGGAATGTAAAAGTATTCGTATATCAACTTGGTTTTTCCAGCAAAAACTCCTAATAAGCTTACCAACGCCAGGAAGTGTATCAAAAATAAGAAAAAGCGGAAGAGCCACATGTTTATTTTACTTTCGGTACGTGCCAAATGAAAATAAAACCCGAGCGCAGCAAATTTAATAAATATGAAATGAGTTTGTCATACACACAGGCACAAAACACACGAGCTGCCAAACCCTTGCCCCAATTACAAGGATACCAGGATTCCGCCGCCTGCATGCCTTCGATAACGTGCCGCAACGCCGAAAATACCTTTAAGCCAGACCCAAAGGCACTGGCGGGCGGGGCAAGGACCTTTCTTAGCAAATAAACACGCACTTACCGGCTCACAGGACTTTTATGGGTCCTCCGCTAGCTAGCCGCACACAGACTCGTCGTGAATAAAGTGTGACAAAATAAATGCCACTAAAATAAGGGATCACAAGTCGCACGGCGTATCCTTGAGGCATTCGACAAATGCCAAGCAAATCGAATGCCCGGATGGGAAGGCAAGCAGAGAGAGAGAAAGAGCTGAAATATGTGATTATAAGCGCATAAAACAGCCGCAGGACTTCGAGTCCTTGGCCTGTCAGGGCGAATCCTGTCCCTAGTTTCGGGCCCAGCAGCGGAACTTGTTGAATAAATAGGGAAATGAACGGCAGACTGTCACACAATCTGCTGATTGCTACACAGGAATTCCTGTTGCCCGCATTCCTGCCTCCTGCCTCCTTTTTTCGAGTCGCTTTAAGTGGAGCTCGTTGGAGCTCCTGGCTCGCTAATAGCATTTCTGGGAGTCCTGCCAGGTACACCGTGAAACGACAAAATAGTTGCCTAATGAATATGATGATGACCAGAGCAGCGGTGGGGCCCTAATTGGCTGAGGACGAGAAAGTTCGGCGTGAAAAAGTGTAATTATTTTATGAAGAGAAAGCGCGTAAATGTAACAAAACTAAAAATACGTGTACTCACTGTTGTTATTTAAACCTGAAATAATGTGGCATTAATATAAAGTTTTAGCCTTTATCACATTTAGTGGGTGACTAGAAGTGTGATGACGAAAGTTGCCCACTTTTAAATATTGTATATAAAGTGAGTTTTCATTTTAGCAGCAAGCTTCGTTATGTGAGGTCTTGTTTGAGGTATTATAACTATTGTTTATAATAAATTAATGATTGCAAATGTTTGGGATAGGAGTGCCCCTTCTATCGCTTTGTTAGCCAACTTTTGGGCAGCTTTCCCAAGTGAGCATCCATAGTTCCCATCGCGGAGGCAACGAACCATTGGCAAACTCCACAAGGAGTGAACTCTGGAATCTATACCATGAGAATGACAAGTGCATAATTTATGCGAACAATAGTGGCCACTGTTTGGCATCTCAATTCACACGACGGGCAGACAAAATTGTTACACAAACCAAAAGGCGGCAGGGCATTTTTTCCCCACCTGTCTGTTTGCACAAGCTAATGGGCTCATTCATTTTATTTCTCAGAATAAGGAGAGGAAAAACAAATATTTTCTTATGTTATTTGCCTCTGAGAATTGTGTGATGCCGTGGCAGAAACTTAAAAAAATATACTCCACCGATAAATAAGATCGTTTAGGCATTGTGTCTGGATAAGTTTGCTTGGAAACTTTTTCCACCCCACCAAGAGTGAGATTTTCTTATTTGTCTTCAATTGGTGAATAAATTCGAAGAGCAGCACGAAAGACGTGATGCATAGGCCACGTTGCTAGGATGTATATCTTCTGCTCGCATTATTTGTCTTAGATGCCAGCTACTTTATAATGCAGCTTCAGTGTGCTTGCTTCAGTTTGTTGTACTTTCACTTTACGTGTTCTCAGGGGCATCTAGAACAACCTTGCCATTCAACCGACCAACACCCCGCCCCGTGCCTCCTCCCCCAATGCATCAATGCAACAGCCTCGCTTCATCAGTGTTAACCCTCAAAAGCCCGCAGGCCGACATTGTCCTTGGTGGCTCGTCTTTTGTTTCCTCTCGCAGGGAGTGGTACATAAACCTGAACCAATCTGACAAATAGCGGGTTAAGCATATAGCAGCCTGGGATCCTATGTAAATAATTGAAATAATATGATTAACACGTAACTCCTGCTGGTTTTAAGGCAACTAATATTTTTTAAATTCAATCAGCTCCTTAATCTTCTTAGTCAAGGATTACCAACTCACATATGATTCCAATTGTCTGGAAAATTCTGATGGTCCTTGCCAATAGGTATTGGCATCCCTTTTCCATTTTGTCACAATCTCAGAAATACTGAGACCGAACAAAGGATAGTGTGTTGCACAATAAAGGGTGCAGTCGGTCGATGGCACTTTTACGAGTTCTGTGGCTTTTTGTCCTCGATATTTATCACGTCTTTTGTCCTTTTGGCTTTGCCCACCGCCATGCACTTGCATTTGCATCCCGATTGCAACGGTCTGGAGCATAACAAAACTTGTCCCGCAAGTGGAATCAACAAAAGACACAAAACTTCGGGCGAGTCCTCGAATCCTTCGAAGAAGAATAGTTGCTAACGCAATTGGTTGGACCAGTTCCCCTACAATTCCTCGAAAATGCCAAAGGCGTAGAAATGTTGTGCAATTTGTCAGTCGTAAGGCGATCAAGTATTGAATAACAGGGGGATTGAGGGAACTGGCTGCATCCTGATTGTTTAGATTGTTATCCGTCTCCTATTTCCAAATGTGATTAGCCCGCAAAATTGGCTTTATTGACATTCGTTTGTTGTCCTGGTTACACTTGAATGGCATAACCAGACGCCCTAAGGTCTCGCCAGTATGAATCCCAATCTTTTCCCTGCTCAACTCTTTTGGCGTTGGCCAAACTCATAGCCTCCTTCAAAGGAAGCAGCTTCCCAAGTCTTAGGGCAATTTAAGCCGAGTTCAAGACTGAAAGCGGCTTTCGTAATGCCAGTCTGGGAAAATATTCAGAGTAAATCAACAAAGTGCTACGAATAATTTGCTAGCCAAGTATGTGGCCATGTATACGCTTACGCAAAAGCGGAGAACTGTGCTGGCGGATCCATATCCTTGGGTTAGACTGAATAATAAAGAGTGCCCAAAAACAATGCCTGGCAATATAAATAATATAATCAGGCCAAATGGCCCGAGAGGCGGACAATCAAAAGTATATGTGCATTCGCACAAAGGGCTCGACACGATTTGCATGGCTATATCTTCGCCAGGATACAAGGGCGAAAAGGTGTTGGAAGGACGTGCTCCTGCGGTGAAGCAAGCCAGCTGTCACAACAATGCCGAGAGCCAATGTAAAATCCAGGCATGACCAGCGTGGGCTTAATGATTTATGGCAAGAGTGTTCTGCGGTGGCAACTTGGCTGAAAAAGTGCGTTTCCCGGCCAACGAACCACCAACCGCAAGCACATCCAATATTTGTCCCAGGCCCGACTTGAGACTCTACACACAATCCTGTTGCCGCAGGAGCTAAGCTGATTTTTGCGGAAATAGGAGTAACTGCTACTGATGCTGAGGCACTGCAGCTGAGGTTCGAAAAGTTATTCGCTTTAATTTCTGCCATCTATTTAAACGCGCCATACCCACTCGAAAACATTCGGTACTTTTCACGGTCGCCCAGTTTCAGTGCAAGTATTTCCATCGCATATTTTCATTATACACTTTTGACAATGCCTTTGACGATGTTTCCTGCCATCAGCCCGCAGCGCCGGGTTTTGACATAATTTAATTCGTTTTTATTAAATTTATGTAAATTCTGCTTCGTCTGCTTGCAGGACTCCCAATCCCTTGGCGTGGACTAACCGAAAGTAAATTGAAATTGTAAGTAGCCGAGAGCATTTTGCACATTTCCCGATTAATCCGCTGAAAACTGTAAATTATGCTGTCAGACCCTGATGGTCGGAAATGGGTTGGGTTGGGCTTGGTTGGATGAGAACCGGGAATAAGCCACAGACTGGCAGGCTGGCAGTCTGGCAGGCAGGTCAGAGTTCAGCCATGTTTAACGATTTTTTCACTTGGCCAACGGGCCGTATGATTGATATTCGAAACGGTGGCGCTGCGGTTTGGTTTACGGTTAAATTAATGCGCAGCCAAGGTGTTAAATTGCCCGTAACCGCGCCCACAACATAGAACACCCAGTCACCCAAAGGCAGTCAGAAAAAAGTAAAACAATTACTGATTTGCATCAAGGAGCACAAAAGACGCTCCTGATTCTGTGGACATTGTGGCAAAATGTCATTAGATTAATGTGTTGTTTTATACTCTACTGTCCCTTGTGGCTTGTCCCAAAGATTGAGCAATGTCCCTGTCATAATACGACAAATGGAAACTAAGCAATGCAATTGCCTCATTGCTTCCTACCGAAAGCTTCAGATGTGCATCCGATAATTGCCATGGATTGATGTATTCAAGTGACCAAAGGAGGCCAGAAAAGCTGACAAATCTTGACCATTAAAGACTGCCCCAATATCGGCGCAAAACCGAACTCTTTTACTCTTATTGCAATGAGGGCAGTTGAGCTTATAATTTTTTAATTAATTAGGGTAGGTAAAGTCTAAAAAGAAAGTCTGGTACAACGGATTCGTTTAATTTACTCCCTTGCGCAGAGTTCAATTTTTCCAAGCTATGCAGCTCTGGCTATTCAGTTAATGCAATTTACTTTCCCCGACCCCGACAGCGCAAAACGGATAATTTACTTATGTAGCGTAGCGCAAAGCTGTTACGTTTTGGGGCTGGGACTTTTGACCTTGCCACGTGGCAAGCGATGGTTTCAGTTTGGTTGGCAAAACGTGGGGAGAAGTACAGAGAGATGTGGCAAAGGTTTGAATTATGCAAGCTGAGCAGCTAGCAAACGTTCTATTTTCGATTTTGAAATGTTGCAAGTGGGTAAAATTGAATTAGTGCGCAGGAAGCGTTCAATCCAAGGACCAATTTATGCGCCACATGTTGCAACGGCCCGAAGTTCCCATTCGTCCTCGCTAAAATTGTAAAAGCTTAAATTTTTCATTGGGTGCCGGATAAAAACGAGAGTCTTGCACAAAGTTTCCTTTACCCAGAGTGAAAATGACACGGGGCTGTGCCAACTCATTTGGTGTCTGGTGGCGCAAAACTCTCGCCATCCGTTTCCGACAATCGTGGGAAATAAATTTTTAAATCTGCCTGCGGGGGGGTGTCCGCGGGAAAACACAAAGCACTTGCTGTTTTATGTAACGGCCATTGAAAGTTTAGACAGGATAGGTTTCAGGACTGCAAATGTATGTATAAAATATTGAAAACGAGGTTATACATTTAATAGCCTTCGTGATCAGTTGTTGCAATTAGTTGAAGTGATGGTAAAGTACTTAATATTAATAATATTTGAGTTTTGCCTTGGACACGATAGCATATTTACTTACTAATGTCCGGCTCACCAGGTTTTCATGCAGTCTATTTAACTCTAAGGGGCATCTGCTAGTCGAGTTTCGGATGCGCACACTCGGACTTGTTGAATCCACTTCAGAGCCCGGCTGAGAGTGTAAAAACAGCAGAGGCAGTCGCATTTACGGCCCAGTGTCCCAGCTGAAGGTAAGCATGCGAAGGACACTCGAGATGAGGGGCAAGCTGGCCAGGAGGAGAGGCGAGGGGCCTGAATAGGAGCTGCATGGAAGCCCTGACAAAATGTAACAGATTGGCCGGAGAGCACATATTCAAGGCGGGGCACAAGGCTGAAGCCCGGCCGGAGACCAAAGAACCATAGAAAACGTCGGGAGCCACGTAGAGCTGCATATTTAATCCTGTTGATTTTTATTTGTTTCCGTGTTGGCCGTGCTCGACTATTTCTCATGGCTCTTTATCTGCCTAACGATTTTGCATGCTGCAGTGTGGCCCATCGCCTCCTTCCGCCGACCTTGCACGTGTCCTTGAAGGCGAGTCCCCAGGTATATGACATCATTTCCCTCTGCTTCCAAGGAGGACTTATTTTCGTTTTCAACTCACCGATGAGATTTGAATATGAGTCTTTGAAAGAGAATAATCAGCCCAACTGTCGAGTCCTTTAAAAACTAAACAAAAGTAAGCAGCACAATAGATCAAAATCAAAATTAAGATATACTCGTAAACAAAGCTCACGGAAATAGAGTAATTGGCTCGTCAAGGTGAACGAAACAACATACGATGCCATTTTGGCCAAGCTCGGTCAATTCCCAATGCACCAGTTAATGAGAATTTATATAACTGACATACAGAATAAATGAGATTAGCAGAGATCTCGCCAAAGATAGTCGCGTTCGCTGGATTTCTCAAGGTTTGCTCAAAAGCAATTGTATCCAGACAGAGTCACACAACTTCGATTTCCATTTCAATGCGGGTTAGCTGCATAAATCAGCGATTCATCCCCAAACTGAAATTCAAATGCCACATCATTAAAAGCCACGTTCGCCCAACTAACAGCGGAAGTTTATGTGGTCAACAAGCTAATAAAATTAGAGTAGATACCCGTAAAAACATGCGAAAAACGTGTAAGTCTCAGCGGGGCAAACACGTCGCCAATTACAGCGCGTGCCTTCAATCAATCAATCAATCAAGGCATCGGTCAGTTTTTGGTGGCACGATCGATTTTGACTGATTCACTTGCCACCCGGAGTGCGTTGTGAAAGTTACCCGCCTGTGAGGCGAACTGTAAGAGGTCCGAACTAATAGCAGTTGGCTTTAATGAGCTGTCAAATATGACGGCGGTTACGAAATTTGAATTAGACTTTGGTGGCTTGAGATTCGAATGGAAATTTTGGTATGTGTGGCAAGGGAACTGGGATCAGAAATGAACTTTCAAGATATAAAGGAAATATGCGGCATATTTATATGAAGTTCAGTGCTGGTTTTCTATAAAAAATTAAAATTATAAGTTACCTTGGCCCCTATTTGTATCTTTTTGGCTTAAAACATTAGAAAACCCACACTTGAGCAATCGACCAGGAGGGTAATTTCAAGTCCTTTTATCCCAGCTTCCGTTCTCCATTCAGGATATTAAGTCGCTCGGATAGAATTCAGCTGAAAAGTAAAGTAAAACTAATCCTCGGTTGAGTAAAATATTGGCATTAAGTTGGCTTGACGCTCAGCTCATGGCTTCGCCAAAAGCGCAGTGAGCCGGAATCCGCTTTCTCGGCCACGTTTAGTTTGGGGGGATCTGGCTTATTAAGTTGGCCATCTAACCGCAATCAGGAGATCGAAGGAAATGCCACTTCGGAGGAAGCGAGGATGAGCCAACTGCCACATTGACAGCGGAAGGCACCCGAGGTCATTATCCTCCTCGCCGACTGCCTCATCATCATCAAGTTAATCAAAATGCCATTGGCCATTGCCATGGCATGGCCAAAACTCTGCGCAGCAGAGAAAAAATTAGCTTGAAAATTGTTATAGCATTTTGTGGTTCCTCTCACCGCAGAATCAAATCGGCTTAAAAACACGCTGAAGAATTCCCTTTCATCTCGACGCGTCTTCATGCTTTTTCTTTCATTACTCTGCACTTGTTTTCATTTATTTTTGTGTTTTTTGTGTTTTTTGTGTTATTTTTTGTACGAATTGCTGGCTCTGCTCACTCACTGGAATTCTAAAGTTACTTGACCGCAACAAAGCGTTAAATTGTGCCGAGTTGTTTTCACCACTTATTTATATCAAATTTGTTCTTAATCAGCTGAAAGCGTAGCCAACTTTGCCCGCCCCATGACGAGCGCTTTATTTTTGAGCTACAATTGAGTTCACAGCCACCTCCGTGCAGAATATTTTAGGTATTTTTCGGAGGGGAACTCGTAAAAGGATTTCATTGAAAGAGGTGGAATAGAAAAGTGTTTAGTCACCTGAATTAGGTGCCCTCGGGAACAGACTAAATCAGTGCGCCATTATCCTTGAGGAGGTGGGATACACTTTAATTCTTAAATTGGTTTCTTGTGCTTGTATAGTTGTTAAATGGGGAGTCAATCATTCATGATCATCTCTCAATTATGCAAATTATTTTCTAGCTTGTAATTCTGATTAAAATTGAATTGTCAATCAATTTCTCCGCCAATGGCTTCAATTGCTTAAAATGCCGGACGCATTATCCCCCAGCTGATATCCTTCGGCCATAAGGCGCAGATTGTTGAGCCGGGAAGCACATTCGGCAGGCATAACAATAACAGGACTAACAAAAACCCTATCCCTGCCACATCGCAGGATACGTGCCTCGCATTCCACTGGCGGCTCTGGTGTCCACCTGATTCCCAGGATGCGGTACTACGTGCCGGACCGCCTCAATTGCGCTCCTTCGCCACGCCCATAAGCCTTTCGCGCCCAAAGCAGACTACGTATATTAAGAGGTGGCCAGTGCTCAAGTATCACTTGCCTTGAACATCTCGTTCGTTTGTGGCCAGGAAAATGGTCCAAGGAGCTAGAAGGTGAAGGAAAGGTAGACGGAGACAAAAACTAGGTCAACTGAGCGTCCCAGTAGGCGGTTGACAAATTTAAAGGACTAAGCTTTTATGGAGCAATTAAGCCCGGTTAATAAAATCAACCTTTTGCTGACGACTGAGCGGAAAAACAGAAAATGAGAGCTAAATGGATATTCGTTCCTGGCAATTAGCCTTGAGTATCCTGCATAATGTATGTGTCCAATGAACTGCCGAGGGGTCTAATAGGCATAGACAATGAGGTGGAGACACGGGCAGGAAGGCAGCCCTGATCTGAAATGTGTAGGTAGTTGGGGAAAGAAAAATCAATACACTTTTTAACACACAAAGGGATAAGTCACAAACGTATATGCTATGTAAATAGCTATCAATACTGTGCATCCTTTGGCACTAAGATACTTT